AGGAGAGTGGATGCTTAGTAACAGTCTGTTAGAGTTTTTACTGTTCATGGGTTTTCTCAAGGCAAGAATACTGGAGTGGTTTGCCATTCCCTCCTCCAGTGAACCACGTTCTGTCAGACGCAAAGAGCCAACTCATTGGAAAAGACCCTGATGCTGGGAAAGATTGAGGGCAGGAGGAAAAGGGATCAATGGAGGATGACATGGTTGGATGGCATCACTGACTCAGCGGACATGAATTTGAGCAAACTATCTCAGTTGGTAAAGAATCCACCTACAATGCAGGAGACCCTGGTTTGATTCCTGGGTTGGGAAGATCCACTGGAGAAGGGATAGGCTGCCCACTCCAGTGTTCTTGGGCTTCCCTTGTGACTCAGCTGGTAAAGAATCTGCCTGCAATGTGGGAGACCTGTGTTCAATCCCTGGGTTGGGAAGATCTCCTGGAGAAAGGAAAGGCTACCCACTCCAGTATTCTGGCCTGGAGAATTCCATGGACTATACTCTATGGCGTCGCAAAGAGTCAGACACAACTGAGCAATGTTCACTTTTCTTTTTCTGGGAGATAGTGAAGGACAGGGAAGCCTGTCATTCTGCAGTCCATGGCATCACAGAGTTGGACACAACTTAGTGACTGAACAACAACAGAGCTTTTATCTCATCAATTCATAAGTCAAAACCTTTACTTTTGTTTAGTAGACTAATTTTTAGAGCAGTTTTAGGTTTACAGTAAAATAAAGTGGAAACTACAGAGAGTTCCCACATGCCCTCTGCCCCACACATGCACAGCCCCCCTTAGAATCAACATCCCCAACTAGGGAGGTACACCTGTCACAACTGATGAAGCTACATTGACATCATTATCATCCAAAGTCCATGGTTTACGTTAGGGTTCCCTCTTGCTCCTCTGCATTCTGTGGGTTTAGACAAATTTGCAATGTTTTAGACAAGTGTGCAATGAAATGCATCCATCATTATAGTATCATACAGAGTGGTTTTACTGCCCTAGAAGTTGATCCCTGGGTTGGAAAGATCCCCTGGAGGAGGGCATGGCAACCCACTCTAGTATTCTTGCCTGGAGAATTGCATGGACAGAGGAGCCTGGCAGGCTACATACAGTCCACGGGGTTGCAAAGAGTCAGACATGACTGAAGTGACTTTGCACGCATGCACACATTTACTAATAGGCACTTCAGTTTTCTCCATATCTTTTCATGGCTTGATGGCTCATTTCTTTTACTTTTTTAAAAAGTCAAATAAATGACCATATTACTCATTGCATGGTTTTGGAGCATTTTCAATCTTCCACTAAACTTAAATAATTTGAATGGTTTACTCAGTTAACATGCTGCTGCTGTACCACATTAAAAAACTAATAAATGTGTTTTGGGCAGACTTAGTAACTCATCGTTACCCTATATTGTCTTCTTTCTTTCCGTTACAATCATATTTGCTAGCCATCTTGCCAGAATCATTCAGTGGAGTTCTGCTTGTTTAACCATTGGTGGAAAATCTCTGTTTGAAACCATTGTTATGTTCTGTTTAGAACAGATGTTTGTGTAATTTACAAAGTAATATTTTGTTAAAAGGACTGAGTTTTCTCAGAGGAAGTTCTGTATCCTGTGTGTTTGTGGACAAAGGAACCTGTCGCCAGTGGCACTTATTAGACAGAAGCCTCAGGTAGAGGAGAAGGGAGCTACTCTTTTTGTTTTTTTAAATAAAAAAAAGTTCTTTTGACCAGGCCATGCACCATACGGGATCTTAATTCCCTGACCAGACATCAAACCTGTGCCCCCTGCAGTGGAAGTGTGGAGTCTCAACCATTGGACCACCAGGGAATTCTCTCCACTCTTTTTTTTTTGATGGGAAAAAATTAGAACTGTATCATTGCAGTTTGACCCACTCTCAAACAATGAGCGAGAAACAAACATGCAACAACAAAACAAGATGCAAGTCAGTAGTCTTCTTGGCTGTGTGATTTTCCTCCCCTTATTCTGCCAACATTGAAAGTCAGCACAGACTTGACAATCAAGGGATGATGTTCTAATTAGTGGGAGTAAAAGAAAAGAAGCTTTGGCCTCTTAACACATTGGTTTAGGAAAATGTTTTCATCCCTAGAGGAAGGAAGAGGTCCCGATTATTTTGTTTTCCTCCTCAAGCTGAAAAATTTCAAACTGAATGGCAATTAGCACTAACCCATCCCTTTACAAATCATGAAGTAGCCTCACTAGTCAATCCATGACTCTGTATTGTTTGTATTTAATCCTTTACTGTATTAATGCTCAACTTACACAATGGACTTCCTCAAGTTCAGGCAAGGTATAATGGAGTGTTGTGCTTTAGTAAAAAAGTTGCGTGCAAAAAAAATTATATCAACATCTTTTTTAAGAGAATAGATTTACATACAATTGTCCGGTGAAACTGGAATGGTTAACAGAATATGGTTAAACTTAATTAAACCTTCAAGAGAAATAGGAGGGGGTCAAACAAAGCCAACGAATGGAGAAGCCCAAGATGAATTTGGGATAAATGTAAGGATAATGGCGTTTCAGCCTGGGTATCTGCTGGTCCCTCCCGATAGCTAGGCTGCTATCCTTCTCATCATCATCTCAAGAGGAAACAGGTCTTAGAGCAGGAGAGCTGATACTAATATTTAGGGACTTCCCTGGCAGTTCAGTGGTTAAGACTGCACCTTCCAATGCAAGGGCTGTGGGTTCAATCCCTGGTCTGGAAGCTAAGATCCCACATGCCTTTGTACCAAGAAACCAAAACATAAACAACAGATGCAATATTGCAACAAATTCACTGAAGGCTTTAAATTTTTAAAAAAATATTTGTGCAATACATGATGCTATGCCTACTACTCAGGCTCCTAAGGGAAATAAACTTTTGTCCACTGAGTTGCAACTGGCCAGCCAGCTGTTCTCATGAGAAACAAACAAAAAAGACAAAATGCTGCAAGAAGCTTGCATATTTAGGAGCAAAACAGGTTATAGATCATACTGTGTGGGAAGAGATAGAACATTCTGGAAAAGAAGATTTAGGATACATTAGAAAGATGTACATTGCACAAGACTTAGTGGAAAATCAGGTTAACTCTTCAAAACTTGCTAACATTTGGGGGTTGATGAGAATGGTAATTGAATTTGTATTTCTCTACAACTTGTTCCAAGTTGTACCCGATGTTTTATGGAAATATTATGTAAGAGTTCTACTTAGCTGTTTTAGCAACAGTATCTTCAATAAAATAGAATAAATGAGTGGGAAAATGTTCCTCACTGAACAATACCTCTGGTGAGCGACGGCAATGCTACATGATAGGTAATAAGGAGCATCCGAAGCCCCTCCCTGATGAACCCCAAGGTACCAAGGATCACAAACATCACAACATCTTTTTTTTTAATTTAAAAAAAAATTGGATATCTTTTGGCTGTGCCGCATGGCATGTGGGATCCTAGTTCCCTGACCAGGGATTGAACCTGTGTTCCCTGCCTTGGAAGCATGGAGTCTTCAACCACTGGACCTCTAGGAAGTCCTATCACAGCATCTCTACAAATGTGTTTTGAATACCAATTATTTCAACATCTGTTGTCAACCTCTCCTGGCTCCCACATCTGCCTCCCTGTGCAGTGAACAGTTCTCCAGTTGGCAATACTCTCCCTTGCAGGGGGTGGAGATCGAACATAATATGTGCACATTATGTAAAAAAGAAGCCCTCCATCATTTCTTATCTGCCATACCAGGAGTCAGGGAAGGATGGCATCTCTTCCTCTTCACTGTCTGTAACCGAATAGGTGGAGATGGTTGAGCTTGCTGGCCTCTGTTGCAGTCATCTGAAGGAGGCTTGAAGAAGAATTCTAGTGGAAAGATGACCTGGAGTCAGGACCTGGCGTCCTCACCCCAGCGTCTGTCCCTTACATCTGACAACCTTTATCTATTAACTGAAGGGGTTGAACTAGACAATCCACGAGGTCCATTGTGCTCAGACACTCAGTCGTGTCTGACTCTTTGAAGCTCCCTGGACTGTCGCCAGCCAGGCTCCTCTGTCCATGGGATATTTCAGGCAAGAATACCAGAGTGGGGTGCCATTTCCTCCTCCAGGGGATCATCCCGACCCAAGGATCGAACCCGCGTCTTTTGCATCTCCGGAGTTGGCAGGTGTCTTCTTTACCACTAGTGCCACCTGGGAAGCCCCAAGGTCCAATGGAACGCTGGTATTTTGCTGTTCCATTTTGACCAGGACATGGTGAGCCTTGAATAGTTTCACAGGATGAAGTGCTGTACTATGTTTTCCTGTAAATCTAAACCCAAGGTTGTAAACTGGTGGTCAGCTCAGCCGTATAAATGTGTTTTATTTTTGTTTACACTCCATAGTGGTTTTTTCTTTCCTTTGTCTTTTTTTCCCCCCTAATTAGTTGTCAACCCATAAAAAATGGAGATTTCTCTAAATCATTTCTGGCTTGTCTTGAAGTTTTTGGATCTGTCAACACCTGGCCCTCGTTCTGACATAGCAACCGCTTCCAGATGGGGCATGCGCTGGTGGGTTCCCCAGGCCCGCCTGGCCCACCTCCCTTCCCTGCCACTGTTAGAAGCTGGAGTCTGCAACCTCTTTTTAAAATTCTCTCCATCTCCTCCTGATCATGTGGGACAATAGCATTTTGTAAAAGGCAGCCTATCCTAGCTCTCTCTGATTCTGGCACTGGCTCCAGGAGGGTGGGTTTGTGTGGCCGTTTGAGCTGTTGGCATGCCTTCTGGCTCGTTCATGAGCACAGAGGTTAGGAGGAGAGAGGGAAGCTGAAAAGCTTATCAAGTTCTGAGATGCTCCCTACCATTCCACCTGCATTACCGATGTGCAGAAGGTGTGAGTGGTGGTGGTGGGGGAGGGGTGGGGGAGGCTGCCACATGAACATCCACATGCATCAGGGAGAGATGAGATCAAAAGAGCAAAAATGGCTTTGGGAAGTTTCAAATGTCCTTTCCCCTCTTCTTCCTACCCTTATTGTTAGGTCCATGCCACAAAGGGCGAGCAGGTGGCTGCTGTACCCAGCTGGGCTCCCTGTCAGCCCTGAAGCATGCAGTCCTTGGGCTCTACCTGCTGGTCTTCCTGGTTCTCGTGGGCATCTTCATCTTAGCAGGTAAGAGCATCCTTTGCTACCCTGGCCTTTAAGGAAGTGAGCAGGAGGTGAGAGTAGATGGGAAATGGGGAGCGGGAGCCTCTGCTCTTCATTCCCACAGTCAGGAGCCCAAACACCGCCCTTGTTACCATGGAAACCACAAAGGAGGAAGCTGGCTGGTCTTTCCCACCAGGCATGATCCTGACCAGCATTGTTCATGTCATGTAGGATGAGTTGGCAGGGGCTGTGTGAGGGTGGGAAATCTCGAAGTCCTCGAGCAGAGACCTAGCCACTCTAAGAGGCTTCTGCCTTGTCCTGACTCATTGTGTTGACACTGTGCATTACACTGGACCTCCCTGGAGCTTTGTGCTGTGGTTTGTACTGAGCAGGCTGGTTCCCCTGTCCTGGGATATGATGGAAATAGTTACGAGACACTTCATTGCTGAAGTTAATCAGGGTTGTGGTCAATCTGCTGCTCCTCTGTGATTCCTGGGGGTGGGATGAATTTGCCCCAGGTCAGCCGGGCTCTTCTCCCCAGTTTCTGCTTATGGAATAGGCTGGTGATGGTCTGGATTTTGGACCACGTTCTCTAACCAGGAAGAAGCAGAGCTCATGGACTCAGGAAGGGATCAGGTGGAGGATCCCATGCTTTGAGCAGCCCAGCTCACACACAGGTCATCCCACTGTGATGGAGATGGTGGTCTCTCCTGACTCCCACCCAGAGGGAGGGATGCTCAATTCCCACCTATCTCTATGAGATATGTAAGGCTTGACAAAGTGAGGCCAAGGCATCAGCTCATTTCAGCATCATTCATCTTACGTGAGTGCCTACTTTGTGTCAGATTCCATGCTAGGATCAGAGACACTGATAAATAAGACCCAGGGGCTCCCCTCCAGGAGTTCCCAGTCTAGGGGACAAGGCAGGAGCACAGAGGCAGGGTCCTGTCTCATGGAAGAATGCGACAGGGACTATGATGGTGCCTGTGAAGTTGACACACAAGTGCTGTGGTGATCCAGTGGAGTTGCAGACAGAGGAAGTGAGGGTGTTGCGTGGAGATCCTGGTGGGGAGTGTGTGTGGGGTTAGTCAAGGAAAGTCTTCTGACAACCCAGAGCTGACTTGGAGTGCTGAGTGGAGTCCTTGACGTAACTCTTAATTCGTGCCCTTAACTCTGGGGCAGGAAGAGTTATCTGCAAGGGGTCACCCTTGCAGATGACCCTTCAGGAGTGATCCCTGGTCTTGTGTCACCTTCTGTCAAGGAGCCTAATCACTTGGACCCTGTGCTGGGATATTCAGTGCTGCCTTTGCCCTCAGATTTCCACACTCAGAGCAGAGGGTATCACTAGGGGTGGTATCTGTCTCATCAACCATCAACTTTGACCTGGGGGGAGCAGCCAAGAGCAACAATGAAAGAAACTTATGATTCATCCCAGGGACCAAGAGATGATGTCCAGCCAAAAGATTTTTTTTCTTTTTGCACATGTTTTTGGGCTTCTCAGTTAGAGATTGGGATCTGGGTTTTGTGGGCTTGGCAGCCATGACCATAACAAATTTCCAGAATTTTTGGAAAGTGTTTTAGCGCAACAGGAAAGCTGGGCTATGGTGTTAGAACTACTCGGCTGAATGAGAATTTTTAGGTAATGGAAGAGGGTCTGGAGGTGAGAGCCAAGCTGGTGGGGACCCTGGGGCAGTTCCCTGGAAGGCCTGGGAGGCCTGGAAGGGCATCATCTCTTGGGCAGAGAAGGGTTGCTGGGGAAGGAAGATTCCCTTCTTGTGTCTGACAGGCTGCCAGGTGGGAAAGGGTGGGCATAGTTCTGTGTGGTCTCAGAGGGTAGAACTAAGTGAATGGGTGGATTTTGTAACGAGACAAATTCCCATTCAAAACAGAGGAGGGTTTCTAACCTGACGGGCTACCCAGCTCGAGAGTTTCTTTCTTTTTTTTTTTCTCCTGGCTTGGAAGTTGAATGGGATGACCATTCTGGAAAGGGAGGTGGCACATGATTTCCTAATCTCATGGAAAGGTTGCCTTGCTTCCTTAGTTATTCCATGTGGAAACCTGGGGAGGATTTTGATCATCGTAATTACCTTTGAACCTGAAGTTCATGAGTACCAGATTGCCTGTGGGGGATGAAGATTTAGAGGGTGTACTGGAACTGATCTGATGAAGCAGAGTGTTGGACTTTATCTCTTGGCTCTGTAGCCTGGCCACTGTCACCTTCCCAGGTTCTTCTCTGGAAAATCATGTGGGCCTCTGCATGGGTTTCCCAGGTGCTCAGTGGTAAAGAATTTGCCTGCCAAGCAGAAGACTCAAGTTCAATGCCTGGATGGGGAAGATCCCCTGGAGAAGGAAATGGCAACCTCTTGCCTGGGAAATTCCATGGACAGCCCAGGGGGTCTCAAAAGAGTTGGACACAACAACTAATCAACAACAGCCAATAAAGGACTACCGTCCCCAGCTGCCTCTCCCTTGGAGAGGGGACTTAGGAATGTGATGGATAAGCCTGCAGTTCTTCAAAGGGGCTCTGCCTGAGCTTAGGTAGGAAGTTTCTTCCAATTGCCCTGATTGGAGACCTCCAGGGATGCTCCTTTTAAATCCCAAGGTGATGGGGAGATTTATGGTTCAGAGTAAACCAGAGCTAACCTGGCCTTCTGGTAGATGTCCTGCTGGGGCTGCTCCCTCTTTGGGGACAGAATGTGTTCTCCAGTGCCCTGCAGAAGTCACCTGGCACAGAATGGGCTGTGGACTGAATCGTGTCCCTTCCAAAATGTATATATGAAGCTCTAACCCCTAGTGTGATGGTATTTGGACGGTGGGGCTCTAGGGAGCTAATTAGGTCATGAGGATGGGGCTCTCATGATGGGATTGGTGACCATATAGGACAAGAGGAGAGAGATACAGAAAGAGAAAGACAGAGATCTCTGCCAAGTGGGGACAAGGAGACAGGGCCCTCTGAAGCCAGTAACAGAGCTCTCACCAACAACCAAATCTGCCTGTGGTTTTTTTTGGCTGCCCTGGGTCTTTGTTGCTGCATGAGGTCTTTCTCTAGTTGCGGTGTGTGGGCTTCTCCTTGCATTGTAGAGCATGGACTTTAAGGACACGCAGGCTCAGCAGTTGCAGTTTGTGGGCTCTAGAGCATGGGCTCAGTAGTTGTGGCGTGCGAGCTTAGCCGCTCCGTAGAATGTGGAATCTTTCCAGACCATGTAAAACTAGTGTCCCCTGCACTGGCAGTCAAATTCTTAGCCACTGGGCCACCAAGGAAATCCTGCCTACACTTTGATCTTGGACTTCCCAGGCTCCACAACTGTGACAAATGAATGTCTGTTGTTTAAATCACTGGGATAGCCTGTGGTATTTTGTTATGGCAGCCCTAAGCTAACTAAGACAAGAGGAGTTCTGTTTGAACCAGTCTTAGGCTTCAAAACCTCCTCATTACACAAAGCTTATACATCTGACAACTGGATGCTAAAATCATCCACTGCAGTAAGTGCCATCTCGGAACACCTGATGGATAATATCTGATTGTAGAACAAATGCTTGTTCTTACTTCAATATTAAAAAATTAAAATCTCGTTACATAAATTATTACTCTTTTTTTAAAAGGTTTTTCCAATGTGGACCATTTTCAAAGTCTTCACTGAATTTGTTACAATATTGTTCTGTTTCATGTTTTGATTTTTTGGCCATGAGGCATGTGGGATCTTAGTAGCCCAACCAGGGATCGAACCCGCACCCCCTGGATTGGAAAGCAAAGTCTTAATTAACCACTGGACTGCTAGGGAAGTCCCTATAAAATAGTAATCTTATAAAACTTCTCATGGGCTTCTCTCAAGTTCTTGGTTTATCCAAGTATTAAAAATAAAAGGCAAATACTGTACCTGTGTTTATGCAACATCTCAGCATCCCCTCTCAGAAGGTTAATCCAGCCATTACCCAAATTTTGTTTTCAATTGAGCTTTCTACCCAATCTACCTAACTATCCATCCCCCTCCCTGCCAGCATCCTCTTGGGAGCTTTCCTCTGATACTCCCACACCATCACTGGGTTCTATGCCCACGGGATTCCATCATTTCCCAAGGAACCAACATCAGTCCATTCTTCCCAAATTCCTCGAAGTCTTTCTATGTCTTCAGTTCATTTTATTACCTGGACTGGTGGTTCCCTATTATGTTTCCATTCTGTTCTGGGTTCATGTTTTAGACAGTACAGACTACCAGGCTTTAAGTTCATGAACAAGAGAATTGAGATTAGATGGTCATATGGTCAGAAAGTCCTCCATTTAGCACTTTAGGGAAGATGTCCCCTGTGATGGAGTTCAAGAGTTAGAGGAGGTTCACCCTTATCCATGACTGTGGTGAGACCGCGCTGTGATGATAAAGGGTGGTCATCAGGACCTATGTCTTCTTACCCTTGTCCGTCATGGCTCCACTGAGAAATCTGAATTCCCATCGTGGCAATGATACAGCAGAAAGCGGAACATCTGGGGATCTAGTTTGGTGGAAAGAGGGAGCGTTACAACAATGCAGACTGCAGAACTGTACCAGCAAGAGCTCCTGGTGAAATATGGGCTCCTCTCATGCCTTAATTTAATCCTTTCTTAACAGCAGAAGTCAGTTATTGCCATCAACAGCCTCAGGAAGTGCTTCACTTGCACATGAGTGCTTAGTGAGTGCAGGACAAGAGAGTCAGCCCTGGTGTCTTAGTCTGTTCAGGCTGCCCTGACATACTCCCACAGACCAGATGGTCTAAAATGTAACAAGCATTATGGCGGGGCAGGGGGGATAGGCAGGGAAGGAGACGGTGAGAAGGATTGAGAAAGTAGCTCTGAACCATATGCATTATGATGTGTAAAACTATTAGGATGGTGCAAAAGTAATTTCGGCTTTGCATTGTTGAACTTTGCCACTTGGTATTGGAACACATTCTTAAATAAATGTGGTTCTGTTATTCAAAAAAGAAGAAAAAAAGAACAAATTAAACCCAAAGTAAGGAGCAAAATTAAACAAACAAACAAACATTAATTT